GAAAATGAAATGTTCTAATCAATGGCAAAAAATAATGGTTAACGTATTTGGAATTATAATTCATTGATTCAATAACTATGTCTAAAGATGTTGTGAATTCGTTAGATTTAAAGTAGTACATTATATTCCCAACAATATTATCATTGATTCCAAGTGTTCTTTCTAAAAAATTCTTTCTGATATCTGTAGTAGCGAAACGTAAAGCTTTGGCATTTTGTAAAACAGCACGTTTCACAATTTCAAAGTTGTTCTGGTCTATATGAGAAGCGTATTGAAGTGCTAACCCATTTTTCTTCACGATTTCTATTGTTGGCATGTATTCTTTGATTGAATTAGGGATATATTCAAGAGCAAGTGGTTCTGATTCAGTAAATTCTTTCATCAAATCGATATCTCCTCTTATTTGTTCAGGGGCAAACTCTAAAGCTTTGTAATTATTGATGAAAGCTAACTTGGTCATGATTTTAGTTTTCTCCTCCGTTCTAAAAAACTGATAAATTAGACCATTTCTTTTAAGTGCCTCTCTTTTGAAATCATTATCATGTTTGGATTTTTCTGAGATGAATTGAAAGTTTCTAAAATCTTGCTCAATAACAGCATATTCAAATAGAGTATTAGAATGGATGAGTTTGGAGATACCATTGTTTGTGTTGATGTGATCTGACCATTTAATACTGTTACTTAATAATTGAAGCAACCTTTTAATAACCTCATCCAATGACAATCTCTCTGTTTTTAATTTCAACAAACCCAAAACAATCTCTGCAAATTCCTTTGAAAGATTATATTCTGATGATAATTTTTCAACATCAAAGTCTTGAAAATTACATTTACCAGTAATCAATTCAAAGAGTGTTAAACCTATGGAATAGTTATCACTTTCAAATGAATAACCTTCCATAAAAACCTCTGGTGCACAGAGTTTAGCTCCTATTATTTCAGTTTCCTTTCTAGATGAGAAATTACTTTTTGTGGCACATTCAAAATCAGCCAAAACTATAACAGGGAATTTGTTATCAATAAATTCATCTATGAATACATTGGCTGGTCTGATGTCTCTATGAATAATTTCATGGGATTGTATGAAGAATACTGAATTAACTAATTGTAGCATGATTAGCTGTAATATTTTCTCATCATTGAACTTATTTATCCAATGATCAAGTGAACCAAACTTGTAATATTTCATTTTGTAATAATTAAAATTATCATCATTAATTTTAAGAGTTTCTCCGTAATAAACTTTGACAATATTAGGATGTCTAAATATTGTTCCATCAAATTTCAATAGATATCTTACTTCTCTCATAAAGCTCTTATTGGAAGAGTTAAATTCTTCCCTATACACTTTCACCACATACTTCTTTACTACTTCAATAATTTTGTAAATATAAACACCTTTCGATTGATCACTGAATAATCTTCTACCTAATGTGAATAATTCTGACAATCTTTCTTTGATGATGGTACCAGTGTCGCCATTAATGATTATATTGTGGTTGGTGGTAATAATTGGTGTTGCATTAGGATTATTAATTATAGTGAGTTTTAATTTGTGTTGATTGTTTGGAGAGACCATCACCACAGTACCGTTAAGTTCAATGCTGATTGTACCATTCAACATGAGCTCAAGTTGAGTGTCTGTCATTTTTTTTTGAATAATAAACGAAACGTGATAATGCCAAGTAGGTGCTCAATGACGTCAGCAATCGTTTCTTCAGTTGACGAACATTTAATCCCATTCTGTTTAAGAAAACATTCACAATTCAGTAATCGATTAATTTGAAATTATTAGAATTAATATTAGAGAAACATATGATAGAAAGTTTCCTCCACACAAACTCAATTGCCAACCAGTTAGACATGCACTTTGCTACTCATAAATGCAAAGTATTTGGTGTCACTGATTCTAGTAAAAATCTACTGCCAAAGTACTCCTTAATAACGTCAAATTAACAACCCGTAATAACCCAGGGTAGATGCACTTTACAGAATTTAGAAACTAAAATTAGTGGAACAACTACAAGCCATCCAAAGCTATCATCCATCACCATAGATGAAGATTTAATTTTGAAAATACTCTTGCAGAGCAATTAAATTTTCAATTTTCTCCTTCACATTTTAATGTTTTGATTTTATAATTCACTAAGCATTCAGCATTGACTCAATTTTGAGCCATTATTATTATTATATTGAGGAAAGCATCAATTGAAGGTCTATTGTTAAAACTCACTGCATTTTGTTAAAACAGATCTTCTTACCGTGAAATTCATAGAATGTCGAACATCTGATTAATTTTATGCCAACCAAACCAGATTCGTTATTATTTTCTATGATGTCTTACTGCGTTAAATTAATAACAATAGTAAGGTCATGTTGACCACGTAATATCACGAACATCAAGGAGGAATGGTGCTAATGTCTCCTGTAGACATTTCAAGCTGTTTGCAGATTTATTAATTCCACATCTCCCTTAACCAAAAATATTGCTAGAAATATGATGAAACAACCAAACAACGATGCAACAGATTCATTATGGAAACAACTTTCGGTGTTGTGCCTCCATAGTAACAACTCGTTCTAAACAATGAACGTAAAAAACAAAGTCTACTCTGTTACAATCCTGTCTTTTAAGAAACTGTTTGGTGAAGTTGAACTACTTGAATCCATCACTTTATCACTTGCAATGGAGCTCCACTGTTGTTATTCCTTAATATTTAGATAGAATTGAAAAACTTCCGTGATACTTTAAGAAT